GGAGGGGGGGGGAGAGAGAGAGAGAGAGAGAGAGAGAGAGAGAGAGAGAGAGAGAGAGAGATGATATTTCAGATTTAATATTAATATTTATTTTCTCAACAAGAAATGTGGAAAAAGTGTTTTTAGTAAACGTGTACAAAAAAAAGAACGAAGAAGATACTTTATGGACGTTATAGTTAATTATAATCAATATATTATAATTAACATTATATTATTCTATTATTAATTATTATGTTTTTTTTTTCGTAAATCACCAAGGACCTAGGATATAAAGAAAAAAACGAACCTTTTTATGAGATGTATTTGTTAGGAATTTATGTTTTGCTTATAATTGCATATTGCAATTACGTGGCTATATTATCGTCTTTCTTTGTTTTATTATTAACTAATCTAATTATCGACAGAAATTAGTAAGACATAACAGTACATACATCGGCATGCTAGCGAGTTCGTCATTTACAGCAAAACATTCATATCACTGCATAAATCTAATGACGTCTAGTTTAGATCAGTTTTAGCTCGATGACTTCTAGCCATTCGACTTCTGCAATGTGTCAGGATACTTAGAGAAAAATTTTTTACGCTCGCTGAATAGTGCGGCATATTAAACAACTTTATAAAATGACTTTGTCATTAGTGTGTGACTTCTAATCAAAAATATTTTGCAAAGAAACATTCTGAAATCAGTAACAATATTGCTAAATAAATTACGAGTAAGCAAGCAAAAAGGGATGTTCATGATACATGTTCCATGGACAGAGGTCCATGTTCTAGAGATGAAACTTCTGAAATTGATAAATTTATTCAGAGTTCGATGAAATTTATCGTATTCAATACCAAATTTCATTTTTTTTATCACCAAGAAAAGTTGAAAAAATCATGTTTAAAAGTTTAAAGTTTTCTAAATCCAGTCGCTCTTGACTGTATTTAGTTCTTACGATTTATCAACGATTAATTTATTAAAGGTTATGATATTCAAACGTAAAAATTGTTTTATATATAGGTTTTGAACGTCGCGAAATTCAGATCTAATATTCTAAGATTTTCAAGCTTATTGAATCCAAATATAATATTAGAATTTCAAAATTCAATATGCTGGACGGAAAGATTAATCTCTTTTATTATAGTGGAATAGATTCTACCGCTTTCACTCTTTGCCAAATTTAGAAACAGCAATGAACTGATAGCAAAGACATTCCTATTTTTTTTTCGATTCCGCCATATTGAATTTTGAAATTCTAAGATCATATTTGGATATAGCGAGCTAAAGAATCTTTGAATATCCATTTTCATAAAAATCTATTTACTTTCTACTTTAATCTATCATATTGAATTCATCATTTTTGAAAATCTAATATTAGCCTTTAACAAATTAATCGTTGATAAATTGTAAATAGTAACAGTCTAGAACGACTAGACTTGAAAAACTTCAAACATGATTTTTCCAACTTATCCTAGCGATAAAAAAGTGAAATATAGATTTCGTTCATCATATTTTAAATGAATTTATTGATTTTAGATGTTTTATTTTCAAGGCAACCTCTATATACCGTAAACATCCTTTTTTCGAACGAATATTCTTTACGATATTTGGGTATAAAGGGCCTAAGGATCTCTTATACTTTATATAATGATGATAATATTGAATTTTTTTTCTTCTTTTGATGCTGATTTAATTGAAGAGTTTCATTATTAATATCCGAACGAAATTAGCATTATATTTCTTTTTTATTTTTATGGCAGATCTTAGCTCTTACCTGATGCAAACGTATTACATTTCAATCATCTCAATTGAACATAATTCAAATGAACAAATTTATATTATATAATACAACACAGACAAAATTTATTGTGATAATGTGTAAAATGTAATATAATCATTACAACGCATAATGACAAAGTTGTCTTCGACATAACTCTGATATTATTTACTTTTGAACAAAGTTTGCTCTGGAAGATCGTAGAATTTCTATTTATATTATATGTATAGTGTATGCGAAAAAAGGTACTATTAAAAAAGATATTAATTCTCTGAGTCTTATATAAAATCGATTAAAAGAATTGTTTATTATTTGGCTAATCGGAAAATACACAATATGTAATTTATGATATGTAAAATGAATTTTTATTTTATTTCGAACGATTTAAAGTGTCTAAATAATGACAAATATTTTATGTTTTCGAATATCACTTCATAAAAAAATGTAGATTGCATTTATCATTTATTGAGTTTGTTGAAACACCACTATATTGCATTAAAAAAATAAGAATAAGCTGATCGTATTAAAATTTATATATATATGTATACATATATGAGTACATGTATATGTATACATACATATATAAAAATATATACATATTTGTACATAATGCCTGTATTTCATTCATGATGTTAAAACCTCTGTGTAAATTTCTTAAGATTGTAAGGTTAATGCGTCTTTAAAAGAAACAAAGTAAAAGATTCTTGTATTATAATAGATTGTGACAAGACATAGAAGTTGCAAGAAATGGATTTTTGTAATTATTTAACTGGTTCGGTGAAAAAAAAAAAACAATTAAAGAACGGTTTCGTCTTATATTACAAAACGGCCGTTTAAGAATAGATATAAAAAGTATGATAATGGACCCTGTGCGAGCCTCTATTATGTATTTTATATATAAATATATAAAAACAAGTTTAATAGCGCTGAACGTTTTTAGGAGGACGAAAATCTTGTGAGAGGCTTTTTATTTTTATTATTTGTAATTATACCTAGTTTACATGTTCACCGTTTCGTACGATCATCGAGATCATAAATAAACATCTGTGTAAAGGAATAAAAGAACGATATAATAAATTACTAAATACTGAAGGAGAATATGGGAAAATATATATAGACTGATTATTTGGGTTGTTTTTTCTCTCCATCGTATCGTGCAAATGCATAAAACTGCAAGAAAAATTATCAAAAGAAAAAGAGGAATTGTGGAAACATAAATCTTTATCGTCTATAATCATCTACACGTACGTATATAACAAAACTATGAATATATAACAGTCATTTATTTATCTCACTCAGTTTTTAATTATTTTCAAAAGTTTTTATAATTAATATACATAAATTTTTTTAATACAAAAACTTGTAAAAAGTGTAAAAGACTTTATTGCAATACGAGTTGAGTATAGAAAGACTTAAAAATATATAAGTTTGTACTTGCACACACTTATTAAGATACTTTGCGCGAGTTAAATTATTTTCGTATATATAAATAGTGTTTTCTTCATAGAATTCTCACTCAATACATGTTTATGACATTATCTTTATGACATTTAACACAAGATTCATTATTACTTCAAGTTAATCATATTACTTTTAATTGTTTATTTACATATAGATATTTTGTAAAATCTACTGTAATGTCGTGCTGATTAAATTGCTAAAAGTGTTGATTTTTCTCTATTCTCTTTTTCTTCTTCGTAATGTATCTAATGCCCATTTCCACCAATGCAGATTAATTTTAATCTTGGTTCAATTTGCTCTTCATCTTTTTCTAATTCTAAAAATTAGAAAAAGATTAACAGTAAGTTAAACCGAGATTAAAGTTAATCTGCTGTGGTGGAAACAGGCATAAAAAGCTCATGCCCGTTTCCATCAATGTAGTTTAATTTTACTTTCAGCTCAACTAACTCATCTTCAATTCAATTAACTTCTTTTTCTAGTTCTAAAAATGAGAAAAAAATGAAGAATAAATTGAACTGAGAACGGACATTATTGTACTTTCTTATCATATAGCCGTTATACTTACAATTCTTTAAAAAATACCTGAGTTTTTAAGTTATTCTTGATTAAATCTATAACAATTTCGTTTGATTTTAACTTATTATTTTCTAAGTACAAATTGTATAATGTAATTGTTTCGTGTAATTTTACATAATTCGAAATACATATTTGGTAATTAACTAATTAGATAAATTATTATATACGAAGTGTCCTCGAACTCAGTACCGAAATTGGTACAGTAGCTTTAGCATATGAAAACTAAGTGAAAATTAAACATGTCCAATTTCGAAATATGAAGTAAATGTTTACAATCATTGGCTGCGGATAACAGATCATCTTTAACATGTTTTTGCTTACATTACGTATGAATATTCGACGATTGACAGTGACGCGGGATGATACTGCGCTACCTAAATTTGAACAGGTAGTTTACATTGTTTTAAGGTTCCTGAGTAGTCATCACAGCCATATTGAATCATGATGTCGGAAGCGAGAAATGACGCGTTGATTTTTGTTACATATCATTTGTAAATAAAGATGATTTGGATTTTTTTTACATAAAAATTAAGATAAAAGGAACAACCTCCAATGGCTTCGATCCTGAATATTATTCAAGTTATTGATCCTGTATTGACACTCTGTATATATTTGCAATCATCCGCACACATTTAGATGATCATTAAGAAATATTTGATGTTTCTTAACGTATAATAATGATATAAGTCATGTTACCAAGACTTGATATATTAAATCAATTTATATATTTTGCGCTTTGCTCTATATATTATCGTTATTCCTTTCTTGCTGCAAATATTTATAGACTAAGAAACATCGTGTACAAATGTTTTATATCACTACATTTAAATCTACATTGAAACTGTCTGGCGATGAATTTAGTGACCTGCAAAAATAAAATAGAGAAGATAAGTGTCAATTGCACGAAACATATACAATTTATTTCTCGCGTCAAAAAATTTACTAGCATATATTATTAATAGCAGAAATCAGCTCGCATCAAAAGACGATCATTGTAAAGAATAAAATTCATATATTTCCTACAAATATGTATATGTGTGTACGCATGTGCGTGCAGGCGTCTGTATGTGTAT